TCCAGAGCATCCATCTAGCTGAGCCACCATCCACCTCTTCTTCAGCTCCTGCCACGGCTTCCCTTGCTGTCAGGCCGCTTGCCTTGGTCCAGAGCCGGCTCTGCTCAGCAGCAAGAGCCATCTCCCTAAGACTCACATGAGATCCCAGCATTCCAGCGTGAATCCACTTAGGGGCTCCCCACTGCTCTCAGAACAGAAGCCAAACTCCTTTTGCTGGCCTGAAATGACCGGTCCTGCTTGCCTCTCCAACCTCATCGTGTCCCCCTCCTCCTCTCACACCACACTGGCCTTCTCTCCGTTGCTCAAGCACACCCAGCTCTTTCTTCCCCGGGGCCAGCGTGCTATCCCCGCCTCTGGTTCAGAAACCTTCTCCTGGGACATTTGCATGGCTGCCTCTTCTCCCCATGCAGGTTTCAGCGTCAATGCTTCCCCTTAAGGAGGCCATTCCTGACCACTCTGAAATAGTTCCCCCTGGAGTCTCTCATTGGGGCCCTCCTCTAGGTCTTTTAAGCATTTATCAGTTAGTGTTAGTTAGTTAGTTAGTTAGGTCTGCCTCCCCAACTAGACTGTAAGCTTTATGAAGAAAGGGTAATACCTCCGGGTTCTTATTTACTGTTGCGCCCCTGCGCCTTTGCACAGTATGTGGCCCATAGTACATCCCTGAATTGTTGTTAAATGAATATATGCATGAACAGATGAATACAGTGGGGTTTGACATATTGGAGGAGCAGAAAAAGTGAAAATTTAGAGCTCTAAGGGAACAGGAGCAGGGTGTCAAGGGCGATGCTTTTGGCAAAGAATGTACGAGCCATCTTAGCAGAAAACGTGCCAGATTTGAGAGGCTTGGGAAATAACCACAGCCACCAAGACGAAACAGTTTGAGAAATTAAGATGCTGTGGAGAAACCTTACACCAAATGATGGGATGCACTGCAGATATCATATTGGAGTTTCTGGCTTTAAAATACAGTTAGAGTTTGGAGCGGGGAGGCAGGGCTCGGGAGGCAGATGAGAGGGAGGAAAACGGAACGATCAGACTCAAAGCTATTAAGTCCATTGGAACAGAACAACCACCCAGGAAGGTGAATTTCTTGGCTTATAAACCTCCTCATTGCTCCTCGGTGCTTTGGGTATGCAAATGCCTCTGCGGGTGGAGCTTGCAGAGGAGGGGGCAGCCTCCTCATCTGCCGGAGTCTTCATCTGCTGGGGGATCTGATCGCAGTGCTCCAGGTGTAATTACACTGAGTGATGGCGTGCCCTTGAGGAGGCTGTCAGATCTCCCTCTCTGAAGGCTGCCAGGGCCTCTCCCCGGGGATCAGAAATGGGGAGAGGGAAGCCTCTGGTCTCCATCACTGGCGTGTGAGCTCCTGGGAGAAGGACTGAAATCTGTTGTCAGTGCCCAGCCATACTATAACCACAACTGTTTGTATGTGTCATTCCTGGCAGTGTTTAGAAAGAGCCGACGTTGAGACTGAGGTGCCCTGTGTAAGCCTGGCCTCTGCCTGGTCTGTGACATGGGGCACTGGGTTTTTATAACACAATTTATTTTTTTTATTTTATTTGGTAAATGAAGGCATTTATAATCATCAAAACTTTATTAAAGAAAAGACAGTTAAATATTAAAAACAACGAGATGAATTCTCAAGTCATTGTATGTAAGTACATATAGTGATATATTTACAATTTATGTAAATTTCATCAATCAACCTCGGACGAGCAGGAGCACCTCATCTGGCCTCTATGGCCTTGTCTTCTAGCTTTAAAATTGGACATAGCGCCCTGACCGGTGTGGCTCAGTGGATAGAGCGTTGGCCTGCAGACTGAAGGGTCCCAGGTGCCATTCAGGTGAGGGCCATGTACCTTGGTTGCAGGCACATCCCCAGCAGGGGTTGTGTAGGGCAGGGATCAGCTGATCGATGTTTCTCCCTCATCGATGTTTCTGTGAGAAACATCCCTCTCTATCCCTCTCCCTTCCTCTCTGTAAAAAAAAAATCAATAAAATATATTTTCAAAAAAAAGAAATGAAGTAAAATTCGACATCGCAGTATGTCTGTGATTCATGTATCTTTCAGTGTATATTTGTTGGCAGCTCAATTAAGTCCTGTGCCACTTGTAATAGGAATGAACCATTTTTATGGTTGTCAGATAAAATATAGAACACCCAGTTAAATTTGAATTTCAGAGCAACAAATACTTTTTTAGGATAAGCATGTGCCATGCAGTATTTGGGAAATTTTAGCTCTCTGTCTTGTACTCTCCAAATACTATAACCTTTTGGAGGGACAGAAACTACATTTCTGTCATCTCTGGAATGCCTTACAATTGTGTCTGCCAGATTTTTGGATTCACAAACATTATTAGATATTTTGGAGAGAAAAACAACTTTTTATTTGGATAAATGAAGGCATTTATAAACATCCCTTTACTAAAGTAAAGCCAGTGTAACGTTAAAAACTATGAGATTGCCCTGCCGGTGTGGCTTGGTGATTGAGCCTCAACCCATGAACCAAGAGGACCCTGGTTCGATTCCCGGTCAGAGCACATGCCCCGCTGTGGGCTCAGTCCCCAGTAGGGGATGTGCAGGAAGCAGCCAATCAATGTCTCTCTCTCATCATTGATGTTTCTATCTCTCTATGCTTCACCTTTCTCTCTCACTAAAATCATTAGAAAATATAATTTAAAAAAAGATGAGATGAAGTCTCAAATCATTTTACATAATTATATCAGTATCGTTATAAATTTTATAAATCATTTAAAAAATTTAACTTTACAAAATACTCACTCCATTGTCTTTTTGCTTGGGTGTTTCCAAGGCAAGCAGGTGACCCTTCACCTTTGAACCAGCCTGGCTCCGCCCAGCTGACTGTGTTTGGGGCCTTCAGTTGTGTGGTAGGTATTGATTTGAAAACCTTGCCCAAGTTTTTTTTTTTTTTACTTTTTTGCTTTAGTTGCCAGGAAGCTCTGAGTTAAATTGGAGCTCAGCTGCTCCTACTATTATCCCCTCTCCCTGCATTCCTGGGCTCCTATACTTTCCTCCAGGCCTTAAGTCATTTAATGAATGAATTTTCACTGTAACTTGCCTCTAGAACTTTGGAAGTATAGGAATTTTTAAAGAAAACTTGAATATGTTAAAACCTCAATAAATGATGCTATTGACAAAGCAGAGATGAATATTGAATGGTATCTGATTATGTAGATGTTTCTTTTTACTGAATTCTTACTTTAATTTCCCATTCTTGGAATTTTAGAATGTTAGAACTGGAAAGGTATGTACATCTTCTAAGAAGTCCAATTTCAGATTAGGGGTCCAATTGAAATTCAGGAGATAAGATCCATGAACCTATAGGAATTCTAGGATCCAAGGTTCACTCATCCACATGCCATCTTAGCATATATCACAGGGCAGTATATCATTTTATAGATGCGATGAGTGAGTGAAGTGGCTCTCACATGAATCGGTGGCAGGCACGGATGATATGCAGAGCTCCAGCTTTCTTAGCAAATTAACTGACTCTGTGGGAGACAGGAAGGTCAGGGAAAGGTGGTCATCTGTTGCTGTTCACATTATACAGCAGGAAGTGAGTGCCTGCCAGGTGTAGAGAAATGAAAAGACCTAAGATTTACCTCAGGTAATAGCAATATCCCTCTCCCATCTGTTCTGAGATTTCACAGTTCACTAAGCACTTCTCCCACATTATCTTGCTTTGATCCTCACCACAAGGAGATTGAGCAAGATGGTAATGTTTTCTATTTTGCTTTACAGATGAGAAAATGGAATAACAGTCACTGTGTTTATGTGGCCAATAAAAGGGGCAGAACTGGGATTTGAACATCTCTAATAGTAAATGTCACTCAAGTCCAGCAAGACAGACCAATGGCTTTGTCGTTAAAAACAAAACAAAACAACGTATTTACTGTTTCAAAATTCACACAAGGTGTATATGATTATTACAAGAAAATTAAAGATTTCAGAAAAATGTAAATTAAAACATAGAAGAGTGTACCTCATCCTACGTCGGGGTCTGAAGTGTATGGTGAGGTTTTTAATTAATTTTTTTCTATGAGTTTGCATGTATTTATAGATAAAAAAAATTTTTTAATGGCTCAAACTACATACATTGCTGTGCTTTGCTCTTTCTTAAAAATATGTCTTGGCCACTTCCCAAAATTCTGAAGTGGAGATCTACCTCTTTGTTTTAAGATGAGCCATATTTGAAAACAGAATAGCACCACTCCTGTGTATACTGACAGAATACTATATTTACTACCAATGTGTAAAGTGGAGTTGATTGTGTTGTGTAAGGGAAAGGGTGCTTGCTGGTGCTGAGAAACGAAGTAAACTGACGCTGATAGCGTCAGCTAATTTTCCCTCAAAAGTGGGGGTGTCAGTCAGGACCACAAATAGCCTTAAAAAATCCTGAAAAAGTTATTGAATAGCTGCCTCAGATTTCCCACCTGTAAAATGGGAATACAAATAATATATGTTCCATACGGGTAGGATGAGAATTAAATAGTTCACATTAACTGTTCAGCACAATGCCTCATGACGACGACAGTGATGACGATGATGACAACGATGGTGACGCTAATTTCCCAGCGAAGATGGAACAGTGAGCGGGGCTTCAGTTGTAAGGTGATCAATGCCAGGCAGAATGCTCCAGGGGATACTTTTTATTAAGAGCTTCCAAACAGTTCCGCCTGGGATGCCCTCTGGAGGCCACTCTGACAACCCTCTGGAGACCGATCTCACAGCGGGGCTCCAGATGTGTGAAGCTTTCCTCATCTGGTGGTGCTGGACTCAACCTCTGGCCCTGGGGGGAAACCGAGGACTACAACTCCCAGGGTGCACCACTTCAGCGCCGCCTCGCCCACGAGCCCGCGTCTCCTCGGGTCCCCTGCCTAAACTACAAATCCCAGAAGACCCTGCGGCACGGCTCCGGCCTCTGGGTTCGCCACGCCCACTTTGGAAGCGTAAGTGTCGCCCGTGCAGCCCGCTGGGAAATGTGCCGAACACCCTGCCCGCGCCAGGCCCGGCGCTGCCATCGGCGCGCGGATGCCGGCCCCCAGCCGCCCGCTCGGCGGCGCCGTCAGGCTCGGGAGGCCGGGTGCGCCGGGAGGCGGCCGTGCTCCGGGCCTCGCCGGGCTAGAAGGTAGACGGGGAGGCGGGCGAGACCAAGTGCCAGCCCGGAGCGGGGAGGGGGCGAGGGGCGGGAGAGTCCAAGCGGAGGAGGTAGGGGTGGGCATGGGGCGTGGTCTCCGCTAACGGGCCGGCGGGAAGCGCGCCCCGAAAGTGAGAATCCAGAGGTCCCCTCCGGGAGAGGAGGGGGCGTCGGGTAGAGTTGGATGATGGCTTATGATGCGGGACTGACGAGTGGAGCTTCACCCCAGGGCCTGGCCTTCCCTGGTTGGCACCCCGGGCCGCGGGCGCGGGGAGTGCGGGCGCCGGAGGCCCCGGTGGAAAGTTAGAATGTTGTTGGGAAGTTCCCCAGGGCTCCTGAGGCTTCCGCTCTGTCCCGGAAGGAAGCCTTCCCCAGCCCCTTCCTGACTCTGGGCGATGGGGGTGGACGGTCTCTGGGGAGGGCTGGGGTCCTGAGCAAAGGCCATCCCAGCAGGAAGGAAACCTTTGAACCTTGGGGGCCTAACCAGTGCTGCCCCCTGTGTCATTATAAGCATCACAACCTGTTACATGGGGTGGGGGCTGATGAGTCTGAACCAATCCAGAGAGACTGGCGTCCAGCTCTCTGGCTGTAGAATGTTGTAAAAGTGGCTCTGCTCACAGGAAGATGACGTGAGTGAGTTAATTTTTAAAAAAAAAATAATAAGGTGCAAAACAGTGTATATATTGTCCCTATAATGTGTCTATGGCGATAGATAGGAAAAGAATCAGAACTATGCTGCACTTCACACTCTGAAGAGTGGTTATTGGAGGGTGGTGACACTACAGATTCATTTACTTTCTGCATCTTGATGTAGCATCTGAGTCTGTACGATGAGCACGCACTACTTTTTATTCCCCCTTAGTTTTCAAAAAAAGGTACCGGGTTGCTCCGAGGGGTGCGTTTTGGAAGGCAGACGCTGCTCCGCGGCTTGCATCTGTCGGGGCCGTGCAGGCTGATGTGCCAAGAAGGATAAGAGGATTGAATTGGCGGGCGAATGTAATGTGCAGTCTATGTGAGGCTAATGCTTTTCTTCTTCTTCCAGGTTGGAAAGAGTCTGTGTTGGCACGTCTCACACCATGGTATGTGGTTGTCTTGATCTATGTCTGTCTGATCCATTATCCTTTCTGGTTTGAAATGGTCTTCTCATCATCTGGTGGATTTGGTTTGCACCGCCTAACTTCCTTGGGATCTGATACCTCAATTGGCCAGGGGATGAGAGGGAGAAAAATATTGCAACTGGAATGCCTCGTCAGCTTTGGATTTGACCCTTCTTTTTCTCTTTTGTCAGGGTATTGTTCTAGCCTCTGCTACCTAGTATTTCTGTGTGTGTATGTCAGAGGGGAAGGGGTTAATTATAAAAGAAACTTTAATATATCCACTGTTGTGCTTCCTGTGCATTTCCTGGAACAAAAGCTTGTTAAACTCAAGGTAGGCACATGATAAATACATACATCTCATGTTTGTTTCAAATGTTTTTCTTTCCCCAGCTTTTACCACATGTCGGATTAAAGATTGACGTTCCCGCATAAGCATTTTGCTGTTACAATGTCCTTGCCTCTCACAGAGGAGCAAAGGAAAAAGATTGAAGAGAATCGACAGAAGGCTCTGGCCCGCAGAGCCGAGAAACTAGCAGGACAGCGTCAGGGTGCAGGACCGGGCTCCTCCATTGCGGCCCTTCCTCCCCAGGCCAAGCAGGGTCCTCACAGTCTCCCCGGAGGTTCTTCTAAGCCAGCGAGCCATGGTGTTGTTTTCAAGCAGCAGAGAACCAGTGGTTCATCTCACAATCCCCACAGTGTTCAGCCCGGCACTCTGGAGCAGGCCAAGGGGACATGGAAGAGGCCAGAAGAGGCCACAGCCTGCCCACACCACAGCCCACCAGATCAAGTGACTCTCACCGGGATCTCCCCTCCCCTGGCACAAAGTCCTCCAGAGGTTTCCAACCAGCAGCTCTTGGGTCAAGGTCATCCTCAGGTTTCCCACGGGACCAAATCCACACCCTTTGCTGACACGACTCATGAGCCTTTGGCCAGCGCCAAGAGTTCCCAGGATGCACCAGCTTCTTCCTCCGGACAGCTCACCGGGGAAGCCCACTTAGAGGCCAAGGCGGCCAGACCCTCCACCTCGGGGCAGAACATCTCTGACGTCCTCTGTGGCTCCAGGAGTGTGGTGCCCAGGACCGAAGGGAGACCCCCACAGACACTGGGGGCCTCGCCTCACAAAGCAGTGAGCTCCCGGGAGGGAGTATGTGTGAGGGATGGAGACCGTTTCCAGGTGAAGATTGGCTACAACGCAGAGCTCATTGCCGTGTTCAAGCGTCTGCCCAGCAGAAATTTTGGTAATGCGTCTTCATTCAGTCTAGTGTTTCAGATGTTTTTTTTTGTGTTTTTTTTTTCTATTTCTAGAATCCCTTTTAATCTAGCAGTTTCTCATAAATATGAAGAGGGTGCATTGGCACATTCTGTCTAACCAGTTGTTAACATTTTTCTATTTTAGTCCGTGTTTTCTTTTGTCATAGACGTTCCTTCAAGCAGCTGCCAAAATTAGTGGCTGCCACGCGGCCATATGGAGAATGCATGCGTGTTTACTGAGGCCAGCTCCTCTGCCAGGTGCTTCCGATGCCCTGTAGCTCTTACGCCTAACAGTTTTTTGGGATAACTAGATGTTTTTTTGGAAGAGATGGGACTGGCTCAGCACGGTCAAGTTACATGCTCAAGTTACATGCTAGCTCTCCCTTGCCTCAGTGCACGTCCCTTCTCATACCTGAGCTTTGCTGGTCTACACAGGGTCCCACCTCTGCCCTCAGCCGTCTGAGGTGAGGCCCATAACATGTCAGAGCCTGGCTTAAATTTCTTGATATTGAATAAAAAGCATTATTCTTATTTATATTTCCTATCCATCCTGTACAAGGATTTTGTAAATCAGTGGGGGCTTGTTTAGCCAACTTTTTTTAATTTAGCATTCATTAATTCATTCATTCATTCATTGAACAAGCTTTTATTTGAGTGTCCAAGTACAGATTATAACAACAGTCATCAGCCTCACCGTGGACAGACCAAGTGTTTGTGTTTCCTTTTAGATCCTGACACCAAGCTGTGGAACTTCAGCATGTCCGACTACAGCGCCCTGAGTAAGTAGGTGTGTGGACACCCTCGTGCAGGGCACACTGGCATGGAGAAGTTCCTCTGGAGGAGCAGGTGCGGTCTGGCTGGTGGTTCAGAAAGCTTCCAGGCCACTGTCCCAGTGCTCTTCTTCCTTCTCCAATTTGAAAACTTAAGGAGCAGAAGAGTAATGTTCCATAAATAGTGAATTTTCCAAAGCCTCAATTAAAGCATGCTTGCAAAGCTTCCCAATCCAACAGTGCCTGCCGTGTGTAATTCCCTGTGACCTTTGCCTGCCTGAGCGTCCAGGGGCCATGTCCAAGTCATCCACCTTGTCACGTCTGTTCTCTTCTCCTTCGCAGTGAAAGCGGTCCAGCGCCTCCGCACGGTCACCCTGCGGCCTTTGGAAGGGGCCAGCAGCATGGCACAGACCGGCCTGCCTTCGGCTCCCTCTCTCGCCTTTGTCAAAGGGCAGTGCATGCTCATCTCCCGGGCCCGCTTTGAGGCAGACATTGGCTATTCACAAGAACTGATTGCACTGTTTAAACAGATGGATTCTAGAAATTACGGTAAGTAACTGGCCCCTGCCTGCCTGCTTCCCAGGGTGGGTAGTGGTCTGTGGTCTCAGTAGGGTGTTTTTCTCTCTGTTTGAACACTCAAAAATGGCTTTCTTGGTAGAGCCTTCCCGATCTGCCTCTTGTAGAGAGGCGATGCCTACACTGTTCAGATGGTGAACAGTTGGCCTGTTTTGTCCTCAGAGGCCTCCCAAAGAGAACCCTTCCACGCCCCCATTTTTCCCCAGTCGCTTGGTCAGTGTTTTCTTGGCAGAAGCAGATAAATTCCTGCTTCAGCCATTTAAACCTACCTGTTTGGATTCCGTAGCAGAGCTAGAAAAACAGATGGTTGTCATAAAAGTAAATGTCTTTCTGTTGACCAAGATCATAGTTCTCAAATTTGAGCATCATCAGAACCACCTGGAGGGCCTGGTAAGCCCAGACTAGTGGGCCCAGCCCCCAGAGTCAGTGTGGATGCCTACTTCCCATCCAGAGACACTGAATTCATTGGTTTGAGGTGGGGCGCTGGTAGTTTTAAAAATCTCCAGGGGAGTCTAATAATCAGCCAGGATTGACAACCACAGGCCAAAACCAATTTTGCTTTATTTTTGTGAGGTTCTTCCAAAGCTGCCCCATCTGAGTAAAGGGCAGAAATCAGCTTCAGAATTCTGAACTCCTGGAGTTCATACTTAGCATGGGCCATGTGGTTTTATAAAATGGGGTGGCTCATATGGATTAACTAGAGGCCTGGTGCACGGATTTGTGCACCGGGGGGGGGGATCCCTTGGCAGAGCCTGCGGGGATTGGGCCAAAACTGGCAGTCCAACACCGCCTGCTGCTCCTGCCTGTTGCTCCCACTCATCCCAGCCTCCCTGCGCCTGCCACAGGCTCGCACCCAGTCAGTCCCGATGGGGGGAGGCTCACACTGCTGCAGCACTCACCAGCCATTAGCCCTGCGTCTGGCTCCATTCAGCAAGCTGAGCTGGGCTCTGGCTGTGGAAGCACACTGACCACCAGGGGGCAGCTCCTGTGTTGAGCATTTGTCAAACAGACATTTGGTCAACTGGTCGCTTAGCGTTTTATATATATAGATACTCACATTCTTGAAGTGGTTTAGCCTTTCCCTTGGCAAGTAGAAAGCAGGGTCTTAAAACCTCTTGCCTTTGAGACATCATGGTCACCACACCATGTGAACTCTCTGGAAGTTTAGGAAACCAGGGACTGAGTGTGAGGACGCAGCAGAGGCAGGCTGGCTCATTTGCTTATTTTGTTCTCGTTGCAGATGTCAAGACCAGGAAGTGGAACTTTCTCTTGGAAGAGCACAATAAACTAAGTGAGATGCCCACCTTGCTTGTTTTAAGTCATGCGGTTGTTAAGCTTTAATTACCTACCTTAAATTGTTTTAAAATATCCTCCTCCTTCCCTGTGATGACTGCGCATGCTGCGTACAGGACCAGGGAAGGTGGGGATGTTCTCAGGCAGCCCCAGCCCATGAGAGAGTGGCTTTACAACAGCTCAACGAACAGGGGCCTCTGCCTCCATCAGTGAGGAGGGGCTGGTCACGTTCCAGGCCGGGAAACCTCCCTCCCGCCCATCAGGAAGTGTGGGGGTCAGAGATGAGCGAGGATCGCCTGCTTAGATGGAAGCTGCTTTGGACGCCCTCTGAGGACAGGCTCTCAGATGACTTTTAGAACCAGATGATTGAGGAAGGTGGGAGGGTCTCAGCAATACTGGGCTCCAGGTGGGCTGAGGTCTGCCAGGGGTTTGGCCTGGGCCAGGGCGCACAGCTTTAATGAGCACTTGGGAGATGGACCGAAGGCAGGGATGTGGGTACAGAAGTAACTACAGGAAGGAGCAGCCAGTTTGGACTTAACATTTTTCTTCTCTGCCTGCTTGGGGGGAGGGGAGTAATGCAATATGTCTGAGGAAGGGGGACATGGTCTTATCTCAGCCTGTCCTGAATGGTAGTCTAACACCCATCTGCCATGCTGTCACAGCTCCACAGCGGGTTTGCTGCTGGCATCAGCATTCCTCCTGTTTGACCCCGATGACCTGTGGGCCTCCCAGCCAGTATTCCCACTGGTCAGGCCGGGGAGGCTGAGACAACGGCCCTCTTGCCCACCCGGCTGGGGCTTTAACTAAGAGGAAATCTGGTTTCTTTCTCTGTCTCCTCCTTATGTGACTTACTGTGGGACATCAGGCGGAGTATTCGACATTCTGGGTCCCATTTATCCTTTTAGTTTAAAAAAAAAAATGTGTAGGGGGGTCTTTAATCTATACCTGCCCTTCTGCCAGAAATCAAATATAAGGGAAGGGCTTTGATCCTTGAGGAAAGGCTTGTGGCAAACTCCAGGCTAAGTTTGAATATGATGAGATACTTAGTATCAGGGAATACTGGCTGAAGCAGAAAGGATCTAAGACCCCGTGGCTGCTGTGTTTGGAGCTTGTGATTCAGGGCGAACTCTGGCCAAAGCCAAATTTTTGATTTTTCCCCTCTCATGCCTTTGTCTTTCAACCACAGAAAGACGTAAATGTGTTAGCTATAAAGGCTTGACTTTCATGGAAGGATAAAAAGCAGGATACTTAGAGCATTCGCAGGTGAATGTAACATTGAGAACCATGACTCTAGACTCACAATATTATATAATGGTTCTACATAGTCTGATGAAATAACAATTCTTCGTCCAGAAAAACACACATAATGGCCAGACATACAGTTTGTGTTTGTCATCAATAATCCCTTTGACCTGAGTTAAGAATTCGGGATTTGGAGTTCACATTACTTTTTTCCATGCTGCTGGTCATTCCAATGCCTTATGGAAGCGAAGACTGATTCTCTCCATTTCACAGATTGGAAAAAGCTTAGGCCCAGAGACAGGAAACATTGTTTTTCCTTTGGGGAGCACTGCAGGTCATGATAAACTCAGACTCAGACTAAACTTTGAGATCTTGAGTTTGTACCATGACCTGGATGGAAATTCGGAAGCCAGACCCACGCACTGCGAGGCTGAGGAGACGGCCCTGCAGTGTCACAGGTCCCAGTGAGCTCTGGTTCCATCCCTCTCAGGACACCTGCGGCTGGTTCCTCTGTGGCAGTTCGATGACACCCTGAGCTAGTGAGCACGTGCATGGAAAACTAATTAAAAATGGCAGTAAGGCCTTTGAGTAGTTGAATGCTCGTTGATGACCCCGTGATAATTATTTTCTCCAGATTAGGTGACTAAGCTTTCCTCTCTCTTTTCCAAGAGACTTGAGGCCTTTGCCCACAGTGAAATTGGCCTAAGGCCCTTTGTTTCCCCAGCTGTCACAGTCCAGAAGGACTCTGCATCCCCTCAGCGATCCTGTCTTGTCAGCTGCTATTTGAAAGCATTCCCATCTCTCTGCTGTGTGGCTCAGTGGTGTCTGCCAAAGCGCTTTCACAGAAATGACTTCTAGATGGCTTCTGAAGCCAGGCACGCCCCTGGCGCCTCCCAGCACAGGACAGGACACAGCCACCGGCGACAGTGCGCGGGGCGTTCTCAGAAACACACCCCGGCGGCCCAGGCGGCAGCGCAGGGGATTGGAGACAGTAGCTGGTAGGAAGCAGAACGGAGCTTTTTTCCTCTTGAGTAGCTGAAAGAACGTAACGCTTAACAAAGCGCTGTATTTCACAGCGGCCGGATCATCAGCCATGTCTCCGTTTCCGTCATGTGTTTGAGTTCTGAAGGTCACTGGGATTGTAATGAAAATGGTGTTTGAAAGCACGTGGAGCGCTCCGTCTCCTGATGTGTGGCGAAATCAGCATGCTCAGATTTAATTTGGAGGCTTAGAATGTACTTCTGCATCAAGACGGACAGCCTCTATGATGAAGCCGCCAGCCGTACCTAATTTCCCGTCCTGGTGATTCTGTTCTGCCAGCCGTTCCCAGAAACAACTGGTACATATATTTAGTGAAGGACGGAATGAATGTCAATGTATTGAAAATACAAAGCTATTTAAGGCAGTGGGTGGCTCCGTCCTCCAGATTCACATCAATATTTGCAATTGTAGCCAATTGGTTGTGTGGCAGAACACCTTGTAATAATTTGTGACAATATTAAGGAAAAGCATGACCATATGGAATAGAGAACCAGCAGCCGTAGGATTTCAGACAATATTGGGTAGAAATGAAACATGCCCAGTTTCTCTTTATGGATTCCTGAGCACAGTAAGCCCCTTGGTTCTATGTGACTCTCCAGGGTGCCCCGGAAAGGAAAAGGGTACAGAGCAAATGAGGGTCTGTGAGCAGTGGGCTTTTCAAAGGACAGTGCTGAAAGGGAGGAACATTAGAAAGAAAGCTACAACCCAGAGGACGGCGGGCTGTGATTGGTGTGTTAATGATTCTTCTGCCGTTAGCGATCTGTAAATCTGTCATTTTTTTTCTCTAACTTGGATTTTTAATCTTTCTGTCCCCATTCCCCCCAAATTGTATGTTTCATTTGTATCCTGGTTTATTGTTTTTCCATTTCTCTGTTGAAGAAGATTTTCCCCTCTTAGTTTTAAAATCAGGTGAGGCTTAAATTCTTTCAAAGAGTAAGATCAGTGAAATTAATTTGCTACCATTTTCATATAGATCTCAGGTAATTTATTTTTCCCACTTGGGTTAATGGATTTTGACTAGAAAAAGAGATTTTTTTTGTTTGGAGGTCTGGTTCCTCACACTTGAAAGTAGAGACCCCCTAAAGATGAACTGTAATGGGACATCAGACTGAACTTACCAGGGTTGGTAACTGCTCTTTGCAAAGGGCCAGAGGAAATACTTTAGGCTTTGTGGGCCATTCGGTATTTGTCCCAACTGCACAACTCTGTAGCATGAAAGCAGCCGTGATAATCCATAAACAAACTGGCACAACTGTGTCCAGAAACAGGCCGATCTGGCCCACGGGCCTTTGCTTGCCAGCACCTGCTTCGGAGGCTGGGTAGGGAGCTACAGGCTACCTCAGGACGAATGGGTTTTCTGGCTGCCTCATCACCGAGATCTACTATACAACTTAGTTCTCAAGGGGAGGTCATTCTCTTGCTGAAAGGGTCAAGAGTGTGCAGGGCCACATGCATTGTTATCAGTTGTGGCCTTTGCGTGGACTTGGCCCTTTGTTGTTGTTTGGAAGTAAGTACCATCTTACTGTCTTTCTCAAAAATGCCTAGCATCTTCTCTGTGTGGAGCTCAGTGCTTCCTTGCCTGTTGACAGCAGGTGACTTAGAGTTCTCTGGCTTCTCAAATGTCGGAACCAAAATAAACAGGAGAATGGAAAGGAGACAAGATTTTTTCATTTTAATTCTTGCTTTTTCTAGGCTGATTTTTCCCCCTTATTTGAATGGGAATACTAAGATATTTTTTTCACATTATTTTAGGTTAAAAAAAAAATCAGTCACAAAATCACTTTGTATTACTTTCTAGTGTTTGTGTAGTGTAGAAAATCAATTTTGTGTGACCGATTGCCCTCATATTTGAAGAAATTAAGATCTAGAGAAGGAAGACTTGTTCTCTAGCACGCGTCTGTCAGCCCTGATGTTCTGTCCAGTTGGTTTTTTAAGTTAGCATGCAGCAGAATTCCAGCCATTGAACTTTGTGTTTCGTAACCCCTGGATCGCTTGGACATAACACCCCCATTCATACGCCTCTCTCCTTCCCTTCTAGTTGAAAGGGTGCGCTGCCTCCCGCAAGTGCAGCTGAATCCACTGCCCAAGACCCTCACCCTGGCCTTTGCTGCTCAGCTGGAGAAGACGTCTCTTCGTCCCACGGTGGACGTCCCTGAGGCTGACCTCTCTGGAGTGGACCCCAAGCTCGTGTCCAGTCTGCTGCCCTTCCAGAGAGCTGGAGTCAAGTAGGTGCCTGGTCTGTCTCTTGCTCCCTTTCCCTCGCGTTTCATCCCTCCCCACCGGCTGTGTCCAGATGCTCCTTCTTTTGTGAATGCTCATCTTTCACAGACACCTGGGAGCCATTAGGCATTGAACAGCCAGGTGTGCTGGTACCAGAGCCTCAGTGTAACCACTGATCTCACATTCTGTGAGTGAGCAGGGCTCTGCGGTTCACGTGTGCAGCAACCTACTCACACTAGTTGAAGAAAGGGATTTCTCAGTGCATGTAATAGAAAACCCAGAATCTAAAAGGGTCTCTTCAGACCCTGTCTCTCTTTCAGCTCCGCTTTCCTCTTAGTTGGCTTTATTCTCAGCCTGATGCTACTCAGGTGTGGCAGAGGGGGCTGCCAGGGACTTCCAGCTCACATCCATCAGCCCAGCATCCCAAAGCAGCTGCTGATTAAAAGAGATTACGTTCTCTGACTTTACTGTGTGAGAAGGAAAGAAAAAGTTAGTCATCTTGCTTATTACCAGGTTTCTGAGCAGATGATAGTTTTCAGAATCATCTGAACGGGGACGGGTGTGTGGAGCAGGAGACCAGACAGCTGGCACTCGGGATCCCCTCAGCGTTTCACTGAGTCATCAGATGACTCGAGCAAGTCATTCTTACGGTTGTGCCTTTTTGTCAAATAGTAGCTATAAGCGAACATTCCTCTGATCCTGTTTTAAGTGCTTTACTTATTAACTTCATGAATCCTTGAAACAGTCTCTGGGTAGAACCTGTCGTTATTTCCATCTGTGGCTGTGGCACCAGGAGGTTAGATAACTTTCCTTTAAGTGGTGGAATAGGGGATTCCAGCCCGTCAAATTGGGCTCCAAAAGAGTGGACTTCACCCTTATTTACAAATCGTTAGCAAGAGTTGTTGCACAGGAAGGCTTGGGGCCTGGAGACTGCTGATTGGTGAGCACCTTTGCTGAGGTTGCTGCTCCCTGTTAGATAAACTCCCTGTTCCACCCTGTCCTCTGGCTGCCCTCCTCCGCAGCATGTTGTCTTTGCTGGTTCCTTCCCTCTGCCCTTTGCACACAGCATCCTCTGATCTTCACTCTAATTTCTCCCCTCCCCTCTAGGAAGATCTCTTGTGTGAACAAGGGTACCCCGCTCAGCCCCTTATTAGAGACCGTTTCCCACTCTCCTTCACACCCTCGGCCTCGCCTCCGTGGGGCTGAGGGTGACTGCAGACTGTATGTCCTGATTATCTTACAGGCTTCTTCCTACCTGTGACCACCATTTCCCATCTTCCCCCTTTTGAGTCCTTTTTAAATTATAATTCTGCTCCCCGATTAGCTCCTGCTTTTCCCTCTTTGGGGAGCAGATCTCTTCGCATGAGCAGGCCCATGCTGACTGCGCACAGCCTACACCGAGCCATGCATGCGTGTCACTGTACGTGGTGGCAGGTACACTCGTGCCCCTGGGGAATAGGTTGTGTTACTGTCCTTACCTTGTCTGCTTCCAGCTTTGCCATCGCCAAAGGAGGCCGCCTGCTGCTTGCCGATGACATGGGCCTGGGGAAGACCATCCAGGCCATCTGCATTGCTGCCTTCTACCGGAAGGAGTGGCCGCTCCTGGTGGTGGTGCCCTCCTCCGTGCGCTTCACCTGGGAGCAGGTCTGTGCTCATTGTGTTGGGAGTTTAACAAAGACGTTTTTCTTCGGGGTTAGAGGAATCAGGTGCCAGCTTGAGGACAGGGCCTGCCTGGGATTTCTAAAGTCCTGCTTCAGCTGAAGGCAGAATGGAGAGGAGATGCCCCCTGAGCCTGGCTCATGGGTCCAAAGTAGATCCCGTTCTACCTTCAGGGAAGGAAGCCACAGAGCTCAGACTCACCTCCTTCTGTTGGCAGACACTTTCGTCTGTACTGCACTTAATGTTCAAAATGTTATTCTTCCTTTAGTTCCCATAGTCCCACAATAGCCATGTGCAGCAGGTGCAAGAGATATTAGCCCATTTAGAGATGAGAACCTGACCTCAGAGAGGTAAGCGCCACACTCCCTGCTGACGCGGAGCTGTGCAGGGCCGAGAGGTCGCGGGCCGGCCTTCCTGGCCCAGGACTTCTGCTCTCTGTGGAAAGGGGTGAGGGCAGGAAGCTCCCTGTCCACCAGGTACCTTTATGGCTAAAAAGTCTGACATGAACTTAGCGTTATTATCAGTCAGCCTTGAGCTTCGTCTGCCATACATCCGGGGATCAGAGTGGTTCTGTGACACGAATAAAAATCCAGATAAGCCAGGTAATAAAGAAGGAAGCCCCGTACCTTATGCTGCCTGTGGCGGCTGGCGGCTTCGTCACACCTTGGCTTCTTCCTAAGCCCCAGGGGCCGCCGTGGGGAAAGACAGCTCCGCCTGCAGCTGCTCAGCCTGGCGCCCAGACGTGCCCAACAGAACTCTCAAATGGTGCATTGACACAGTCCCTCATTCTTTTCCCATCTGTGGTCTGAATTCTGTCAGAACCTCCAGAAACTCAACACATGTGTTTTGTGTGTGAGATTCTCACAGCACCCTCAGAAATTCTAGGGAAGGGTCAGGTGGTCAGATGAGGCTGGGGGAAAACCGGCACTCCCTGTATCAGAATCCTGTCAGCCCAGGCATGCCAGAGGGCACCCGCCACCGCCACGGAGGCACTGGGCGGCCTCTGCTGACCCTAGGCACTGGCTTTGGCTCGAGATGGCAACATTTCTGGAGAGAGCAGGCGCTTTGTAGAAAATACCACCGTTAGTGCCTTCAGTGTACCAAGCTTTGCCAAAAATTCCTCTCAGAAGAGGCACGTTCTTTCCCTGCAGAAGCTTGCCGTCTAGTTAGGGGTCACAGAAGTGAAGTTCGCAGGCCCCGCAGAGTAGCTGCTTGACTAGCGACCCAGGAAGGAAGTGTTCTGCGAGGGAAAGCGAGGGGAATGAGTGGGTGAGAGGAAGACGGAGATGGTAGCCGTTTGGGGGACGGTCACAGCCACTGCGGGAGGACGCGGAGGGGCCGTGCCGTTGGTCCACAGTGACAGTGCGGTGCTGGGTCGGCTGTGGTCACAGCCGGTAGCTGCCGGGCCGGGCCGTCATTTTGGGTTTGTTCTCTGCTGTCATCCCCAGGCCTTCCTTCAGTGGCTGCCGTCTCTGAAGCCAGAGCAAATCAATGTCGTGGTGACCGGCAAGGACCGCCTGACAACTGGTTTGGTCAACATTGTCAGTTTTGACCTCCTGAGCAAGTTGGAAAAGCAGCTAAAAACCCCCTTCAAAGTTGTAATCATTGTAAGTGACTGGGAAAAGCCTTTAAGTACTTGATCTCAGTGGAAACTTTCTTCTTTCATACCTGTACTCTCATGAGTCCGACTCCATCCCTAGGAGAACAGAAATCATGGTCTCATTTTGTGGTGAACCATCATTTCATTTCTCTCAATTAGCAGTTCTCAGTCCTGACTACGTATTAGAATTCCAAGGGGTCTTTTTGAAAAATGCTATTTACTATGTCTGCACTGGGTTCCAAGCCTGTCTCTCCCCATGTGAGGTCGGCTGTGGAGGCCTGTGTGTAGACTCTGGCCTGCTTAAGTCCAGATGTGATGGCACGCCTCTCAGGGACTGGCTTTCTTCTTGGTCTCTAGAGAGACTTGGTCCGTGCCTCCTGTCAGCACTCACTGGATGCCATGGCTCAGGAAAAACAAGTTTTGGAGGGTGTGCAGCTTCCTGTGCCCCCGCCCCATCTGTCCATTCCCACTCCCAGTTCAGGAACCACTAACCGGCATTCAGAGGCAGAGCCTGTGGTGGGTGATTTCCAGTGGATGTTTACCCTTCGTGTTCCTCTTGGTGAAACAGCGAAACCCAGTGCCTCCAGAAGATACGCAAGGTTCTTTTTTACTCAGATGTGTGAATTTTAAAAGCTAGTGGTGTTTTCCTTCTCTTAAAAATAGAACTCTCTCCTGATTGTGGCTTCTCAATCAGGATTAGAGTGCATGTGTCATGTAGAAGGAGAGGAAGGAAAGAGTTTTAGGAGGCCCAGGAAGTGGGGTCTGGGTCGCACAGGTAAACAAGGGACCTGCACTTTGAGCAGCAGGGACTCAGTGCTTTGGGCACGGGGCTGGCTGTTGGGGGTTGGGAAGCACATTCACCCGTGTGCTCATCCCACTAGCAGCTGTGCACCAGGTTCGAGCCCCACACTGCGCTGTGCACTAGGACAGTCCAGGAGGACAGACGGACATATGCACGGGTCATTAGGATACATCTTAGTGCTTTCATAGACTTGTGACCCAAGTACTGTGGCAATCAGAGAAGGATCTGTTGTTATAATTTGGACATGAGAACCATACTGTGTTGATAGCATAAGCAAACTTAAATGTTCATATTTTTATAAGCTAAAAAGATAACAAATCTTTGGGGGATTCATTTCTGGTTTCACACAAATTCAAGTGCGGTGAAAAAAACTGTCAGCAATCATGTGAAATAAAAACACTGAAGGATGATGGTGATGCTTCTACAACGTGTAGGAAGACCAAAGCCTTCTCTCTCATGTGTGCTCCTCTATCAGGTGCTTGATGTATAATCGCTGATCTTACAATGGCCCCTGGGCAGAGTCTGTCCCATTTCTCAGCTGATGAAAACTGACAGTGAGAGGGGTGACCTAATTTGCCCGGAGGCACGAAGCTGGCAAATGGAGTCACTGATCACAGCTGGATTGCGTCCGGCTGCAGAATTCCCGCGTTTCTGTTTCTGACTCAGCACTTAATCAGCCATGTGATTTTTAGCGAAGGACTTACCACCATGGATGGTTTTTAAGGTGAAACAGTGAATTAAGATCCCTGTCCTCCCCCTACCCCAGAGGAATGTTGAAGGAGGGAATAAAGTGACGGTCCTGAGATGTCACTCATATATAAAGGAGAAGCCACTCCTTGTGGTTAGTTATAATAGTGGTTTGTTGTTACCCATTGATAAAAGGGTCCATTTCCTTCCATATCTCTGGACTTTTTGCTACTTTCTCTATAAAACCCTTTTTCTTGGCTATCAGTATGGGCTTATCCTCACCCAGGAGTACAAACGTTATACCCCAGGTTTGTGGGAATAGATGCAGCAGTGACATTTGGAGATTCATCTCACATTCCCATATATTGGTGTTTTTGAGCTCATTTTTTTGGTTCATCTTAGCTGAAATAGAACTGAGGGATGGGTCTTATATGTCATCGTTAGAGCCAGGATCTTCCTGGTAGCCGCTGCGTGCTTATTAAGTGGCAGGACTGTTCTAAGGGCTCTATGTGTCTTAGCTTGTTTAAGACAACCCAATTCATTGGGTGCTGGTATTATACCCATTTTACAGATGGAGAAACTGGCACTGTAGAGAGGTCAAATAGTTGCTCAGAGTCACATAGCAAGTAATTTGACTGTGACCAAAATAGAAAAACTTTCCCCAGATACTAAGAATGTGTTAGTTCCTCATCGAGCTTTAGAAAACATGATCTTTTTTAGTTTGCTTATGCACAGAATGCAGAGCTATAAATAACCATGCTCCGTGTTCTTCTAAGAATCCTATCTTCCTCCTTAGTCCAAGTTCCCACAGTACTTTGTCACGCCTGACTCCGTGACAGCACTCATAATATCATCTGATCAGTTGTTAGTGTAGCTGATATCCTGCCAGCCGCTAGGGGGCGAGGCCTGGGCCCCACTGTAGGGCACATAGTGGGTCTGCAGGGCACCCAGTGGGTCTTCAGCACATTTTGCTTTAGTGCCAGGCAGATGTTAGGTGTGTGTCTTACAGAGAAGAAGCCACTTTTCGGCTGTTTGTTCAACGCAGCCTGTGAGGCGGATAGGACAGAAGAGTCACTAACTCCTTTGTGTAGGTGGAAAACTCTCAAAGACAGAAAGCGACTTGCCCAACATGTGGTGGAGAAACTTTCCCAGGCCCACAGCTGTCTGAATGAGAAAGAGCTGAGGGAAGAGTCCTCAACATGACACTTGCTAGGGTCAAGATTAAAATGGGCTGTTTCCTTCTACACGGGATGTGACCTTGTTCACCTGTGTGACTGTTTCTTTTCAGGATGAGTCTCACTTCCTCAAGAACGTGAAGACGGCCCGCTGTCGCGCAGCTATGCCCCTCCTCAAGGTGAGTCCTGCCGAGAGTGGACTAGAGTCTGAGCCCACTCGGCCTGGAGATCCCATTGTGGTGTGCTCTGGCTGGCAAAGGGTCCAAGGAGAGCAGGGGCTGCAGGGTGGGGACGGTGGGCCATGGATGTGGCTTAGGGCATCTCTGCTCGAGGCTGTGGTGCTCGATTCCACTTCCTTCCTACCGTCCTGCTAAAGAACTTGTGGTCGGTGCCATGGTCCTGGCCACTTAGAGATGAAGACCTGCTGATGGTCAGGACTGCACTCCAGAGCCTCCTGGGCTCCTGGGCAATGCAGAGGGAGCATCCCCAGCAGTGTGTCCTGAGCAGCTCAGCGGAAACTGCCTGTCTTCTGAGTGGCTGTGGGGCAGAGCTCTCGGTACTTTGAACCGAGGGAGATGAGTTATGCAGACAGGCCAGTGGGTACCAGCAAGAAGCGCAGGCAAAGCTGGACATGCCCTGTAAGCCGATGCCCTTTTCTCAGGCTGCCCTCAGCACTCTGTTAACAAAGGAGGGTCAGCATCCACATCCGTTTCTGGGGTGGTCTGCGCTTGCGCCTGAACACTTTGGCTGGTTGAGTCCTGGCTGTGAGCAGGTGTGTGTGTTTGTATGTGCACTTCAGCGTAGCTTCAGATCTTCATGTGAAATTATTCTAACGAGCAGTGTGAGCGCCCTGTCTCATCTCACACACTTCTGTGCCCAGGTTTTGTGTCTTGACAGAGGGAAGGCTCCTCAAAAATTCCTTCCATCTTTTTGCAGTGAGCTTTTTCCTAATATTGGGAGGAAGTAGTGCAGGTGGAAAAGTAGCTTTTTCTCTCATACCAGGCAGAGATCTCAGAGGGGATGTCTGGGAAACCCACTAATGTTTGTGTAGATTGGGGAAACAGGAGCGTGTGTTTAACAGTCTGTATTTCACCAGCTTTCGTTGCTTAAAAGAAGCTTCCAGTTATACTGAAACCAGGGAAAGCTAGTTTGTCAAATGTTGGGGGAGCTTAGTAGCATTTAAAAAATAATTTAATTCTTCCACCTCCCCACAAAACACACACAAGTGTCTAGTCATTTCAAGTTTTGTTTTAGGAGTAGCAAGTTATGTGATAATTACAAGTAATTTGCTACCTTTTCCAAAGGAGGATTATGTCATTTGCTCCAACTTAAAAATAAAAGTCCTTTACTTAAAAACCTTGATCCTATGCTCATAGTACCCATAAATATGAGAGCCATTGTAGACACACTTAAATGAAATGTCTTTTCCGTACTGCTGACCCTTGTTTCCTTTTGAAAAACATCGTTAACAGTTTCCAATAGTCTTTTTCTAGAGGAAGAAAGGCCCTCAGAGTCCCACCATCCTTTCCTAATAAATAAGAGTTTCTCTTTTGTGTGAGTACAGTCTACTTCTGCCTGATGACCTTAAAGAAACCAAAGCTCTTTTCTCTACAATAGAACATTCTCCTTGCTCATTAAAAAAAAAATCTGCGTGTAGTTTATCTACTTCGAGTTGCTTCTTGGATTCTCCTTCATAAATTATATATTCCTATTTGTCCTGCTATTCACTTGCAGGGCTGCCCCGTCTCAAGACCCACGAGGAAACTAAACCTGATCTTTAGGTCGTCTGACAGTGTGTACTTATGTGTATCACATAATTTCTATCAGAGCAAATATATAAATTATTTTTTATATTGTTCCTGGGTAGGTTTCGTGGGTGTTACTTTCTTTCGTTAGAGGAGTGAATTATAAAGTGTTCAATTTAGTGTTGATTTATGTAGTTTTGTGCATTTATATTTTCCTAGAATGTAAGTTCTCAGAGGTGGAGGGTGACCCATAAATCATGGCGGCTGGGCACAGTTGAAGGCACTCTGGGTGACAGCGGTGACAGTGCGAACAAGTTGGGGCTGAGCAGGGAGCAGGCTAAGCCATTGCATAACAGATGCAACACCGTTATGGTTTCTATTCAAAGCTCGTTTTTCTTCCCAAAATGCTGCCTCTGCTTCCTAACACCCGCAAACATCCATTAACAACAGTTCCATTGCTCCCTGGACTGGGCAGTGTATGGGGGAACCGAGTCAGTGTTGGTCTGTTCTGTAAATACCAGGTGGAGGACCCTGGAGGGGATTTCCACCCCTGAGCTGAGAGCTGCTGTCACAGCAGAAGCAACGACCTGGGGAATAGGTTCAGCTGATGGGCTGATTTTCTCTTATTGATAAGACTTTTCATTTTCCCGGGTTCATTAAAATGATGTTGAACTAAAGCAAGCAGTGCTGCAGACGCCATTCAAGAAGCTCATTGTTATTTTAATGAGTCTGCATTAAATGCGCAGGAAATTAGAGGTCCTGGCTAATTGAACTGTGGAAAAGTATAGCTGGAGAGGCTCACAGCTCTCCTGTCATAATGGAATTCCATAGAGGTGGCTGCTGAGAGGGCCAAGGTGCATCTTGAGCATTGTATATGCTGTATATGTATAAGAATCATTCTCTTCTCTCGCTTGCACCTTTATTTATTTTTAGGAGGCAAGTGTATTCATTTGAAAACCTAATTTCCTCCCTAGGTGACTTATTGCACGCAGTTGCCTTATACTCTTTCCACTACTGACGTTTCGGTGGTTAACAAGCTGTTTCTGGACAACCGAGCTCCACAGTAGGGTCCCTTCCCAGAGCTGAAATGAATTTTACCTCCCGTAATCTTTGGTGATTACTTGTTCTAATACAATGAAACGCGTCTTTTTTTTTTTTTTTCTTTCTCACCCTCTTTTCCATCTTAACAATAAGAGGTGGGATGTTTGGGTCTAATCCCCTTGGACCAGGTTGGTGTCACGGTAGTGAGAAACCTGAAGTTCATCAATCAACTGTGTATTCCCCCTCTGCCCTCTGGTGAGTGGTGGCAGACCCGGACTGGGGGAGGTAAATGGCCCCGGGTCCCACCTTTAAGGTCCTCAGTTCCTGCGGCTTCGGTCAGGGACTCCAGCTCAGAGTACTTTGCTGCTGAGTGAGGGAGGGCCTTTTTTTCCCTCCAAAGAAAATCAAATCATGGCTTACACACTTCGTCCTTGGAGTGAGGCAGGGCTGGTCCTAGGTGTCGTTATCTACTCCCAGGTTCAACATGGATGTCAGGGCCCGGGGTGCAGTGCAGGCCTGCGGCTGTCCCCTGCTTCTGCTGCCTCTCCCGGTCCAGGGCTCTTTGGGCTTACTCCACGGTCCCCAGGGCACTCAACAGCCTCCTTCTGAATAGTTTTCAACATACGGTGAACATTTGTTAGCTACTTACTCTGTGCCGGGCATGTGCTGCAGAAATGAAGGAGCACAGCCTAGCCCTCGCTATCAGAAAGCTTGAAGCTAGTGAGGGAGACAGAAGATACAGAATTCGACGTCACATGCTAAGTGGCAACGTGGAGGTGGCAGAGGTGCTACAAAGGCTGCTTAGGAGCTGACATCCAGCTGCTTACCCAGGCCATGCCATGAGGCTCCGGGCACACATGTGCTCTGTTCCTCTCATCACAGTGCCTTCACGTAGAGACCTCAGCTTGTGGGCCCCGCCCAGCTCCAGAGCAAGGCTGGTCCTTACAGTCTTTGGAATCTGGACCCACCTTAGTTATGCGATGATTAGACTTGAGAACCCCAGCAGTCAGGGTGCCCAAACTGGAAGACATCTGTGCTGGCTCCTGGGCATTGTGCTGTCCCCGCGCTCTTATCTCATTGGGGCATTTGGAAATTATATTCTCACCACCTTGTCTGTTGGTTTCCTAGATGGCCAAGCGCGTGATCTTACTGTCGGGCACACCGGCCATGTCGCGACCTGCGGAGCTGTACACGCAGATCATCGCCGTCAAGCCCACGTTCTTCCCTCAGTTCCACGCCTTCGGACTGCGCTACTGTGATGCCAAGCGGGTACTTCCTCTCCCTTCCTCACAGCCCCCATCTGTCACCTGATTTGGACCCCTGCCTTTCCGTTTCTTCTCTTTGGCCATGGTATGATCAGAAGAGCACCGACAGAGAGCTGAATTAAGATTTTAGCTCTGCCCTGCCCGTATTTCTGGCCCGGGAGTGTCCTTGGAGTAAGATGAGAACAATCCTTCCTCCTTTTCATGCTTATGGTGGTTCTAGCTTAGTGTTTTCCAACAGGGACCATGGCTAACGCGTAGGTGCATGGAGCTCAGAACCAGCAGCTCTTGCCGGAGAGAATGGCTCCAAAGTGAGCTGGGGGTGGACCGAGGCGGAGACGGAGGGAAGAGCAGATGAGGCTGGTGAAGGTCACTCGGCATGGGGAGGAGTATGAAAAGCCCTCTGAAAAGGTGAACACATATGCAGGGAAGGCAGAGGAGGCCTTTGGGCAGGTGGCATGGGAGCAAGACCCCGTGCCTCAGGCGGGCTCTCAGTGGACCCTGCGCCTCCACAGGGAGCGCTGCCTCTGGCCTGACACTCAGGGGCTGGTCTGTGCAGCCCCGTCCTCCAGAGCCGCAGAGGGAGCCTGTAACCACAGCAGTCTTTGCAAGGAAAATCTCATTTTCTAGAACTCAGTTTTTTGGCATGGTTTTTTATTTTTTTATTTTTAGTGAAAAAAGATATGTATATTTAATAACATGGGGAAATACAAGAGTGAAAAAAAATAGGAATCAAAATGTTCCTTCCCTTCTGTCCTACCTTCCTCGCTAACTTCCTTCCTCTCTCTCTCCCCTTTATTCTTTCATATCTGACTGGAAGATAATGTATACCAACATGATTATTTTTACAAGCAGAGAAAATCAACATTTTATCACAAGTCCCAGATTCCTCCAGCTGCGCCATTGTGTTCTTTCGTGATCATTAACCTGATTGAGCCGCTGAGCGTGGGACACTGTCCTCCTCACAGGATCCTCTGCGTCTCTCCAGAAGCCCCAATTCAGAACGCTGACTCCTTGTTCCCAGTCCGTCTGCTGTGACTTTGTAAACTTTGAGCCACACCCTAAGCTTCATCTGCCTCTTTCTTGTGGGCCGTGGCCCTGCCATAGACTGGCTGGACTCCAGAATTCCATTAGTCAGATCTTAAAGATTCCCACTTTGTGATCCAGTCACAAATATACCAGCCACTGTCTGCATCAAAGACACTGCCTGGAGAACTGGCTGAGGCTCTCTCGTTGCCTGTTGCCGTGCCATTCCTGAGGGAGAAGCCTTGCTCTGCAAGTTCATGATGTAAATCAGACTGCCGGCCTTATTGTTAAATACTTTTTTAAAGAAAACTTTTCAAGTACTTTAAAAATATCCACTTACATTCAAACTAAGTATTTATAATTAAATTGTAGTGCTTTGTAAAGTTAGTTGCAAACTATTTTTAGCCTGTTACTGAGACAGGAAATTTCTCAGTTATTAAATATACTTCTTTAACACTTTAATACATTTGTGATGCATTCTCCCCTTGAATCAGTCCAGATTGTATATACTTCTCATGTTTCCTCAAAACCCTTCATGTGTGATTTGTATCTTAGTCCTCTTTGCAAATAATCCACTTTCTGAAAAGGATCTTCTTCTCTTCCTTGACTGTCTGGGCCATGGGATACTGTTCAGCCAGTGACTGAAGGGGCTGAAGATGGAAATTATTGCCTTTACTCCCCAAGCTGTGTCCTCCTGTGCTCCTAGTCTCCTCCCTCTGCAGTTTCTCGAGTCCAGAAAAACTGGACTCAAATTCTGGAGTCCAGCCAGTCCAGTCCAACCTCAAACTCACCCTTTCCCTCCGTGCTGCTTCTTCCTGACACACCCAATAGGACAGCCAGGGGCAGTGCCTTCCTCATCTCTGTGTTCTTTTCCCCACCTAGCCTGGTGCCTGGTGCCTGTACGTTTTCAGTAAAAGCTTGTTGGATTGTGATTATTCCGAAGTCCAGTTTAAAATCCTTGGTATGGGTTTTATTATAACCTGCAAGATGAAGAGCCGATAATATTAGAACTTAGGAGCATAATATCCAGATTACTTATATCCTCTTGTTCCCCGCATGATTTTTATTCTGTGCAGCCGGTAGCCCGGGGCTCCCATTTTGTGTGTGTGGGGCCAGCTTCTCACATTAATAGAAGCCACTGAAGAGAGTGCCCCATGCTCAGCCATTTTCAACCCCATAGCGTGAAGGCATTGTCTGACCTTCTAGTGGATTTCAGAGTATTTTTTTTTTAAATAAGCAATTTTTTATTATTTTATTTTTCTACCTTTGACTTTCTCTTTATATTCTCAATTCAGCAAAGGTTTCTTGGATACCTACCATGTCTCCTACCAGGTCCTCTGGCCCTGGAAAATGAACTAGGTGCACCCTTACCCAAGGGGTGCACAGTCCAGGGGAGGGGGGCCCCGAGGGGAGATGAGTGGCTACAAATTAAGGAAGCAGACACCCCGGCTCCCTGACTGTGGAAGTCAATCCTGTTTGCAGGAAGGTTGTTAGTGAAAGATGGGGTTATTTTAACTGTAACATCTCTAGCAGTGTGGCAGGGAGTAGCTATTATTGCTCACTGCCCTCCCACCTCCCCCCTATGAAATGAGGGAGCCAGGTTTACGCAGGACCTCCTCTGGTTTCAGCCAGATGGGCAAAAAATCTGCGTTCCGGCTCCTCCCCTCAACCCCGCCACCACCATCACTGCCGTTGTGTTTATGACATTGCTCTTGAATGTGTTGGTGTGATCATACTGAGAACAACAGGTGTTTACATCCCTGTAAATCTCACCCAATAAAGATTGCCGACATTAGGTGTTACGTTGTACAATGGACCCTGTAGGATGAGCCCCAGGAATGTTATTTCTGTATTTGGTGTACAGGAAAGTGTGACAAGGGTCTTGTTTGTTTTTTAATGTAATGGACGCCAAACCGCTGACACCTTGCATTTGCTGCTAGGAAGCAAATTAGTGCCAAATTGTAGAACGCCATGACAGGTGATTTCTGTCCGCCCCATTCCTGGCTCCCCTTTCCCTCTTCCTTCCTGTTTCTCACATGGTGTTGTATTCATCCTTTAAAGCCAGTTCACTGCACAAAGCCGGGGAAGAGGAGGTTGTGAGAGATGGGGACAGCCCCATCCTGGGCCCTGGGTCTCACACTGTGTCTCCTCCGCAGCACGCCTGGGGCTGGGATTACTCCGGCTCCTCCAACCTGGGCGAGCTGAAGCTGCTGCTGGAGGAGGCCGTCATGCTGCGGCGCCTCAAGGCCGACGTGCTAGCCCAGCTCCCGGCCAAGCAGCGCAAGATGGTGGTGGTGGCCCCGGGCCGGCTCAGCGCCAAGGCCAGAGCGTCCCTGGACGCCGCAGCCAAGGAGATGGCCACCAAGGACAAGTCTGTGAGTCTGGGCTGGAGACCGGGATGGGGAAGCTGGGCTCACAGGTGTTTCTTCCCGTGGGGGTTCTGTGGAGGTCGCCCCGAGCTCTCCGAACCTGCCTCTCCGGCGCCCTCCCTGGGCAAGGACAGTGCCCGCTTCACTTCTCAGCCTGACCAGTCTGCTTTGCAAATCTTTCAATCTGCAGGTTTACGCTTGTGGAGATCACTGCAGATGGGTGGTCATCGGGGCAATCTGCAGGATGATGATATGTATTCTGAATCTCTCAGAGAAAGTCAGAATTTATGGTTAGTGTTTTGAGATTGCCTCAGTATGGGCACAACTACTAGAAATTAGTTCTATGTGTATTTGATATACATATTAACCCTCTAACCATCCCATGTCATTTGCTTTATTTTTTTTAAATTTCTATATTGATTAAGGTATCACATTTGTCCTCAACTCCCCATTCCAATCCCCCACCCCTCCCCACTCATGCCCCACCCCCCCTATTGTCCTTGACCACTGGTTAGGCTCATATGTGTGCACATAAGTCCTTTGGTTGATTTCTCCCTTTTATCCCCACCCTCCCTTTGAGGTCCAACAGTCTGACCCATGGCTCCTTATCTCTGGGTCTGTTCTTGTTCATCAGTCTATGTTGCTCACCATTTCCCCTAGATGAGTGAGATCATGTCCTACTGGAAATATACTTATAAGAATCAAAAATGAGACAAGCAATAATCATTTTTGCTGAAAGGCATATGAATATGCTGTAGTCATTTGCTTTAGTCATAGAATTTGCTCTAACAAATTAATGGTTATTTAACAAAATCGAGTTTTCAAACCTTTTCAATCTTTTGTCTCCTTATTACAGTCATTTATGGTTGGCAGGACCCTCATTTTACAGACAGGGAAACTGAGGTTCATAAAGGCTATGATATGCCTAAGAGTCTGCTGTGTAGCAGAGCTGAGGCCATATCCAAGCCTGTTACCCTTATGTTTTAGGGCTATTTCCACTGTGGTGGTTTTATCATTTCAAAACTTCCATTTCATATCCGACTTTGTGGGATGAAACCTAGCAATTTTCATTGCCAAGAAAATGACATTGGCATTTTTGCCATTATCATAAAGCATTAGCTGGGCCTGGTATTACCCTGCATGAAGAGACTTAGATCTAGATGAGCTCTCAGCCTTCTGGAAGATTACAAATACATAAGCATGATGAGACAGAATGTGTGGTGTGTGTGTTTTGTCAGTTATTTTACCATGTGATTGAGCAGACTCACTGGTAAGAAACAGAGGAGGCCTGGTGGGTGTGGCTCTGTTGGCTAAGGTTTGTCCCATCCACAGGGAGGTCACTGGTTTGATTCCTGGTCAGTGCACATGCACAGCTTTTGGGCTCAGTCTACAATAGAAGTAGTACAGAAGGCAGCCAATTGATGTTTCTCTCCCTTTCCCTTCCTCTCCCTAAAATCAATAAAAACATATATTTTTTTTAAAAAGGCAATATTAAAAAAAGAAACATAAGGTAGGCTAGAGGATACATGGATCAATTATCAAGCTGTATTAATTTTTGCCATATTACGTATAATTATCTGGATGGCCTAGAGTTTTCAGAGTTCACAAGTTGATGTGGATGTACAGACCGATGGTTCTGAAGTTGTATTTCAGTGAAATCACGAGTAGAACCAGAGCATTCTGTTGCTAAAATCAGTCTTGGTGATCTTTTCTGGTTTCTACAAATGAAAATTCAGTGAATGGAAACGTTTTCTCAATTTTAAGGTTTTTCTTATAACTGTCTTAAACCATTAAGGCCTAACTTCTGTCTACTGTGAACTCTGCCAGATAGAAAGTCATTGAGTAAGTACAGCAAACAGAACATGAATGGAAAAAATGCAGAAGTGTGATATTCTTAGATGCGAATTTGTCAAATGCAGTGTTTTAGTTCCTTGCGTGTGTGATGGGAATAAGTCTGTCTGCATTCCTTGGGCTTTCCTGGAGAACACCCTTGCCTGCACCTGGTCCACCTTCTGAACCAGGTTGAGAGCCAACGTAAACAACTGCAAAGGCAGCCAGTGGGCCTTAGAACTGAGGGTGAAAGTCCCATTAACTGGCCAAGAGGCAGCTGTACATTGGGCCGTGTGGCCAACAAGGAAGAGGGGTGTGGGAATTCTGTACTTAGTGCAGCAAGGTTTGAAAGCATTTTTTTTTTTAACTTTCCACCACCTAGCATCATTCCTCAGGTTAGGGGAGTGCTCTACCAGTGGTTTCAGATGTAACCTGAGAGTTTGATTTCCTGAGTTTGCAGGCTGTGCTGTGAAATTCATTAGGCTGAGCCCTGGGAATCAAGAATGTGGGGTGTTTTATAACTCTGGTAGCTGTGCAAGTCCCTTAGATTATTTGGCATATTTTGATGTTTTTCTTACCTAAAAAAGGACGCCCATGGCCTGCCTCTTGGGCTTGATGCTGGAAAAATGTATCAGGAGAATGCCGACTGCTCAGAATCCCACCTGTAGGGTAATTATCATCCCGCTTCTTCAGCATCCCAGAGTTTTAATGGTGTTTTGCAGATTATGAAAACGAAGGCTAATTTGCAGTGTAATTCTTAAATAATCCAGCAGAGAAAGAGCCCGCAGCTCTCCCCAGGCCCATGCTTGAGAGTTGCTGTCTGCCTCCATGGGGTCCTAGGAAAATGAAGTTTGTCCCTGAAAGAGAAATTGAGTTGATGCAGATTACCTTCATTGTGATGCTAAACCAGATACTACATTCTTTCCGATAATAAGTCCTTGAAAATGTGGTTCTCCTTTGTGTGTTTGAATCTAAGTTCATTTTTATAGTGGAAAATCCACGGAGAAAACAAGTTTCTGAGCGTTGCGGTTTGGACCATCAAAACCTTTCCTCTCGAAGGCCACCGATTTGGCACCACCCTAACCTAACTCAGAGGGGAGCCAGTGTCAGCTGGGGGTTGGACTAGGTGGCCGTGGACACCCAGCCATGAAATCCTGAGCCAAAGAGTTCAATGGGGATCATGCTTTCTTGGTTTTGGTCAAATTAGGAGGCCCCGTGGATCTATAGGAAGTCCCCCTCTCTAACACCCCCGCCCGCCATTATTATAGTTACTCTTTAGGCCCAGGTTTCCCTGCAGTTTTGTACAATTTCATGGCTCCAGCAAAGCACAGCTAACCCATCAAGAAGCGGGTTTTCCTTTGTTTCCTCACACCTTCCCATCTGGAGGAAGACATTTTTTAAAAAGCTTTAAGTCACGGAAGCCAAGGGGAAACAGCCAATTTATTAAATGTAATGTGAGCTAAAGCCTTTTCTCATTTTCGGCTGAAATGATAGCTGCTCTCCACCAGCTAAGAAAAGCCGGCTCTAATCATCTTTTGTCTAAAGCCAGTTTTTGATCAGCAAGACCAGGAACAGAAACTCGGAGCCAGTCCGCGTAGACTTCCTGGTGACAGCATCAGTTCACCTTCCGCTGCTTGACAGTCCGTTCCGATTTCCAACATAGAAAAAGAAATTGGAAACCCCAGTGGGTCTAATTTAATAAAAGTCCAGCGGACAGGGACAAAAAAATGCAGGTAATTTAAAATTTCCTGGCCCATGGCTAGCAAAAGAAATGAGATCATTAATGGACTAGTATTCCGTCTACCCAGTTTGGGGGAGTTCTTTTTTAAAGATGAAATTATTGATTTCTGCCACATTAAAAATTTAATAAATGCCTATTGTATAAAATGTGAAAAATAAAGTGCTTACAATAAGTTAATATTTATTAAACATGTTTTTTTTAAAAATATATATTTTATTGATTTTTTATAGAGAGGAAGGGAAAGGGATAGAGAGCTAGAAACGTCGATGAGAGAGAAACATCGACCAGCTGCCTCCTGCACACCCCCACCGGGGATGTGCCCACAACCAATGTACATGCCCTTACCAGAATCGAACCCGGGACCTTTCTGTTTGCAGACCGACGCTCTACCACTGAGCCAAACCGGTTTTGGCTTTGTTTTGTAATTGATCTTATAGAGAGAGGAAGGGAGAGAAGCATTGGTGTGAGAGAGAAACATTGATTGGTTGCATACCCACCAGGGATCAAACCCACCACCTTTTGGTGTAAGGGACAGCGCTCCAACGGAGCCACACTAGCCAAGGCGCGTTGGACATTTTTGGAGGCTTTGGTGCACATCGACACATCATTCCCAAAAGGTCAGCCAGTGTGCCATCCCACCAAGCCATACCCACCTCCTGATAAATCTTAGGGCACAGTTTCTGAAAGTGCCCTTTGCCATTTATTATGCCCTCTCCTTTTCTTATTAGCAGGTGCAGAGTGAGTGAGTGTGGGTGGGAGGAGTTTTGACAGTCCCCAAAGGACACAGGAGAACTGTAGACTGTGGATGCCTGGGGTACAGGCTGCAGACACTGGTGTGGCCTTCCTCGGGGAGCCTGGCTCTGCCCCGCTACCAGGAACCTCAGTAGGTTAGAGGACCTGACTTGCTGCAAGGGACCCTTTGCGGGTATATGAACGGACTTCATGGGCTCATTGGCCACAGGCAAAGGTTGCCATGTGTCCAGAGCCTCATCAGGGTAAACGGGGCCTCTAGCTGAGAAACAAGGTCAGGTGCATCTTCCGCAGGAGTTCCCGGGACGTTTGAGCTGTTCGGTTGGACTACGGCACCAATAGGAGGGACAGCGCCCGCACTGCCAGGACACACATAGTGAGATGGGTGCATCTGCCATGTCCCCCCGAACTCCTGTGGTTCCTGGGATCTTTCTCCTTGCCAAGACCGAGAGGAAAGACTGTTTAAAGCAAGAAGCCCTTTGACAGACAGCATCTTTGCTAGTGGGGGGAGACAGCTGCCCTGCGTCTCTGGGAGCGCAGCGTGACAGTGAATGTTTCCGTGTATTCTGGCGGAACTGTTTGAGCCTTGCCTGTGTTCACATTCTTCATTACTTAGGTGCAAGCTCTAGAGAAAGTGTGTTTTGTTTTGTTTTTCTCCTGGGAAGTCATTTACCTTGTGTGGGAGACATACCAGAAACACTGGACTAATGGTTTGAGATGATGCAAGAGTAAACTAGTCGCGGCCCATTGGAATTGATTTAGCAAGTCTTGGATGGAGGCTTATCAGTTGGGTATGGACACAGCTTGGCAGAAGAGGGGGAGCACAGAACGTGGGCAGTGCCATGTCGTGTGTAAGTTGTCCCCAGGCGGTGGTGAATAGCTGTGCCTTCCATGCGAGCATGGCGAGCGGGGTGCAGCCTCCTCTGGAATGCCTTTCCAGAGGGCTTCCTCATGGCTTCCCCCTGGGCTCTCACACCAGTTCTCGGGGGATGACAGATGCCAGAACGGAGCTCAGGTAGTTCTGTGGCCGAACTGAGTGGTAAGTCAGGGTCTCGGCTCTGTAACTGGTAGAGCTGAAGGATTTGTAAAGCTCATAGTGGCGATAAGCATGTCAGCTTAGCTCAGGGTCCTCAGAGCGGGAGACCTAAACCCTCGCCTTCTCTTCCCACAGAAAGGACAGCAGAGAGAAGCCCTCATTCTCTTCTTCCACAGAACAGCCGAAGCCAAAATCCCGTGTGTCATGTAAGTGGTCACCGAGTGTGGACTTCTCTGTCATCTTTAAAAAGAAACACCTGTTACCTCAGTCTGCCAGAACGGCGGTGCGCTCTGCGAGAAGGGAGCAGAGACTCCACTCACTGCCACTGTGAGGGTGAGGGTTCGAGCCCCACAGCGTCCTCAGCCACAGGTTTGCCTCGAGCGCTGCCCACTCACAGGTGGGTCCCTGTGAGGTCCTGTCTGAACCCACGTGAGCTGGATGGAGCTGCTGTCACTCATGAAGAGCGTAGGTGACCCAGACACTAAGGGGAGTTTTCTCTAGCTAAAAGTACTGCTCACTGGCCGGGGTTCTGTGAAAGAGAAGCTGCCTTACCAGTACATGATTCTCTGTTCTTCTCCAAAGACATGGCTTTCAGTCATTCTTACCCACGTGAAAGCAGAATTTCAGGTTGTTCAAGTGGCCTTTGCCACACTGAGTTCTCCTTCTGCCTTATAACTACCTAAGACTGAAGTAATTTCTATTCTTAAGATTATCCACTGACTTAAAAACTCAGTTGTCTACCCTTCTTAAGAAAGAAACACCCACTCGTATTCGCTATCCCCAGGGTGGAAGCTTGAGGCAGTTCTAATGATGTGCATTTTTCATTGTTTAACATTCATGTGAGACTCTGGCAGGATAATGATCCGAGTGATTAAATTTCAATGAAATGAATTTGGTGTGGGCTGAGCAGAGCCAGGTTGGCCGCAGGGACCAAGGTCTGTGGGTGAATTGAGACCCACAGTCTCCCCTCCTCACTCAGCCACCAGCCCTCTGGCCACACCAGCCTCTCCCTCCGCTCCCGTCAGTGCAGTGAGTGAGTTCACCGTGGTGCTCAGATCTAAGACTCTCCACAAAGCTGCAGAGTGCTGCCAGCTCTCCATCACCCTCGGGCATGGCCCTTGCATTTATAACACTGTGGCAAACTCCCGATGTGTTTTATGGCCTGCAAACATCTCACAGAAATGATCCGAATTGCCCCACCCACCAGTCCATTTATCCACGTGCTGCCAAATAGCAGATGGCAAGGATGTCAGTCCCCTCCCTCAGCTCGTGAACTACAAAATCCAGGGTTGGTGGAGTGCTGAGCCTAGATGCAACCATTTTCCTTAGAAATTGTAAATCTAATCATTTGCCACCTTATAAATAAACTTGGTAATACCTGGTCTTAGTCCATTCAGGCTGCCATAAAAAAACATACTATAGACTGATAAACTATGGTGGCAAATATTTCTCACAGCTCTGGAGGTAGGAAATCCAAGTTCAAGGAGCCGGCAGACTCAGAACCTGGCTTGCAGATAGCCGTCTCCTCATGTGTCCTCCCATGGTGAAGGGACCAGCATGCCCTCTGGGATCTCTTTTGTAAGAGCCCTAACTCCATCCCATCCTACAGGCCCTACTTTTGGTACCGTCACACTTATGCGTTTTGGGAGGGAGCACAACCATTCATTCCATAGCATACCTTGAACATACTTTTTCAAAATTCCATTTGAATTATATGGTGCGTTATCGTTCCCAACAATTTTGATTCCTGTTAACCCATTTCACATTTACAGCCTCTTTGTGATATCAGTAGGATAAGTCATATTAACGCCAATCCTTAAATGCAGAAACTGAGTACATCTCATGGGACTCTCTGAACTTGAGAGTCACATAGCTAGTAAGTAGAAATTAGATTGTAAATCTTAGCCCTGACCAGGTAGCTCAGTTGGTTAGAGCACTGTCCTGATACGTCCAAGTTGTGGGTTTGATCCCGGGTCAGGGCACATAGAAGAAGCAACCAACGAATGGTTGGAGCAGCAGGTGCTATTGTCTCTCTCTCAAATCAATAATAGTTACAAAAGGAGAAATAGTTAAGATGGTAAGTTTTTTTAAAAATCTCAAAGCTCTAATTTTCTCTGCTAGTTGTTTGGGTTTTTTAATTTTTTGTTTTTGCTGTTGTCTGTTTTCATTGTAATGGGCATCTTTCAGTACAGAAGCCAAGGTTATTGTGAAAGGTGACCAGCCTGGTGACTGAGGGGTGTGGAAGGGCAGAGCAGAAGCGTGTCTGCGGTGTAGAGAGGAGAGAGGCACTCGGCACTGAGGGGCTTGTGGTGATTATAAGCTGGCCGAGTTAATTTTATGGCCTTGTGACTTTTTAATACTATAGCAATAAACATTTTTGCTTATATCATGGCAAATTTTATGTCTCTCAAACATAATTAGATTCTTTGTGGTACCAGTGATCCACAAATGGAACTCAAATCCGTACCCTGGCTGGCCATAGTGATATTTGAAAATACATCTTAGATGTGAAGGGACAGCCCACTTACCTTTCTACCACCTGCTGATAACGGGAAACCTTAGGTCTGTCCTGCTCTGGGCGGACAGTGTCTGTTCTCTGCGCCTCCTGCCTGTGAGGTGGCCTCAGGCAGTGGAGGGCTCCTCTGTTCCGGAAGCTCACCGCCCTGCTGCCCCGCAGGAGCCACTGTGGGCAGCACTGGAGTGTGAATCCTCTCCGGGGTGCTGCCGGAGACCTCCCTGCCTGTAAGGCCCTATTGACGATAAGCTTGGGAGGTCAGAAACAGTGCACCCTGGCCCTTGTGGCTCAGGTGGCTGAAGTGTTGTTCCTTACACCAACAGGTGGTGGGTTCTATTCTCGGTCAGAACACATATCCAGGTTTCTCTCCCATATCAGTGTTTCTCTCTCTCTCAACTCCCTCCCTTCATTCTTCCTTATTTCCCTCTTCAACAAAAATTTCAGAAAATTACATGAAACAACAAAACTATTTTTAAAAAGAGAGAGAGGAAAAAGAAAAAACACAGTGCACAGAGGAGAGAAGTAAATTAAAGGGAGAATAAAGACCAAGCAAATCAGTCCTTCCCCTCTATTGCTTTGCCTCAGGAGAGAATCCCCTTTACCAGGGACTGACCGCTGGCTCTGCAGTGAGTAACGTAATGCAGGAGAGAGCGGAGCACTTCCCTGCCTTTCTCTTCAGGGATAGTACTTAGATCTCAACAGTGCACGTCCAGAAATCCGATTACTGACGAGCCCCTGATCCCTTGCCTAGGCATTGTTCAGATCTATAGACAACACTTTAATTTGTATTGAAAACACATCATAATGATTTTAGCAGCCAAAGTGCAAACTGTTAATTACCTTCTTGAGCCCAGGTAATAAGAATGTTGCAGTAGCATATCAGAGATACATAAAACATCAGGCTTCAATGTCCTTGTGTATGGGAGGTGACCAAAAAGTATGGAAGCGCTCACGCTGCACATGGAGAAGGCGGCTTGTTTCCCACCGCTCCTAATCGCTCTTGTATTCAGGTGACCTGGCATGAGGGAAAGGGGGGGGGGGTGAGCTGTCGCGGAAGGGAGAGAATGGGCCAGACAAGGCAGGTACCCCAAAGGCGTCTGATGCAGGAACAGTCATTTTTCAGTAATTAACCTCAGCGGGATGAGCAGATGTTTGATTTGTGTTGTCCTTGTCAAATGCAGTGAATATATCCTGGACCTGCTGGAAAGTGGGAGAGAGAAGTTTCTAGTGTTTGCACACCACAAGGTGGTTCTGGATGCGATTACTGAAGAGCTTGAGAGAAAGGTAAGCTTCCTTGGGAAGTCCACACCAGCTGCTTTTATTGTTTGTGGCGGCTGCTGAGCTGTTCTGAGCAGGTGGAGGTCAGCTCAGCAAAGAAGTGAGAGGGTGGTTTCTGGAAGCATTGCTGAATGTTTCTGAAGAATCATTCTTGCTTGTAGAACACGGGGCAGGGCAGAATATGCCAGCAGTGCTTTTAACTTCCTCCATACTCTGCAGATGCCCGAGAATCTTGTTGGGAACATGTCCCAGGGGGTCTCCCATCATTCTGTGTAAATAATTGGGAAATTGACAAGAGATGAGGTAGCAGAAATCGTCTTTCTGTGTGGAGACAAGTTCCTCCTTATCATGTGGAGGTGGCTTTGTTGATTGCACACGGCTGTGCGTAGACTTCAGTGCAGTTATGTGGCCCTCAGGAAACTGGGTGAAAATCTTCCTAAAAGATTTCCTAGGAAAACTTCACACGTATTTTCACCCCTTTTTCATTTTTTGGTGAAATTTGAGATCATAGATTACCTTCTGTCCTCCTTCATCTTTTACATTTATGTACTATTTTAAATATATGAAAAAGTATAGAGAAATATACAACAAACTCCTGTTTCCCCACCCAGATTGAATAAATGGGAAGTTTTGCTGTATTTACTTCAAAGTTTATATTTCAGGCAATAAAACACCCCAGTCGCCCTCGGTTCCGTTCCCCGCTCTGCCTCCCCACCTATGACCTCCGTCTGTCGCCCCCCCGCCGCTCCTGCAGAAGGTGCCGCACATCCGCATCGACGGCGCCACGTCCTCCGCGGACCGGGACCAGCTGTGCCAGCACTTCCAGCTGCCCGAGAGGCACGCCGTGGCCGTGCTGTCCATCACCGCCGCCAACATGGGCCTCACCTTCTCCTCGGCCGACCTGGTGGTGTTCGCCGAGCTGTTTTGGAACCCCGGGGTAAGGGGCATGCTCATGGCTGCGGGAGGGAGGAGCCAGTGCCGGTGGGGAAGGCAAGGTGTCTGCAAGCTGTCCCTAGGGCCAGTGACCTTCCATCCATCTCCGTTAGTCCTCGGGAGCATTTACTTTCCACATGTCAGTCTTCACTGAAGACTCGCACATCTATCGGCTAGCTCTTAGATCTTCGTAACCCCCTATGTGGTAGTATGGACTCTGTCTTATCAGTGGGGGAACTGAAGTTTTAGAAGGCTAGAAGGATGCCTAGCTGCATACAGGCATCCAGCACCAGGCCGCTCGCTGCCCGGGCCTCTGGCTTTCCACGGGGTCCCTTTTATTAGCCATTGCTGTCAGCTGCTCTAGCCGGTGTGGCCACAACAGGGCGCCGGCTGTGGGTGTCCCTGAACATGGTCACCAGCCCTGACTGCTCAGCCAAGGGCTGTGACAGCAGATAGAAGCTTTGTTTGGACTCAAAAAATTTCCTCCTGAGCTCCAGAAAGTGTTTCTCCACGCATGTCCTCACATACTGCGCTTCACTGGCCGCACAGGGCACCTGCTCTAATGATGGGTGGGCTTCGGGTGGAGGGCATTTTATAATGGAAACAGGCTCCTGGTTTTCATGATTCCGTCTGGGCTAATCCATGTAAGTGCCACCCTGGCCCCTCCCAGCTGGCCTCTCCCTATTCAGCTAGGAGATGACTGTTCTTATCACGGAGAGAAGACTGGAGTGTGCCAGTTTCCTTCGGTCGCCCCTCACCCCTGCCTGATGGCAGAGCCAAAGCTCGCTCCCCCTTCACAGCGCTGAGCACCGGGCCCAACAGGAGAGGCCACCACAGCTCCCCAGCCGCGGTTCAGTCCCCAGCCGGTGCTCTGCTTGGCCGTCTTTGTCAGAGGACAGGCCGCTTGTAGGCAGAGGCCGGCCGGCCCCCCGCCGCCAGGCATGGCAGTGACATCCTTTGAGGAAGCAGCGTGGGGCTGGGGCTGGGGCTGGGGCCGGGGCCGCCTGTCCAGTGGGCCGGGCCGCTCAGGCCTTGCCCTGCATACTGACCCCCGGGCCCGCAGGTGCTGATGCAGGCCGAGGACCGGGTGCACCGCATCGGACAGTCCAGCTCCGTGGGCATCCACTACCTGGTGGCGAGAGGCACGGCTGACGACTACCTCTGGTACGGCTGGCCGCGGGCCCGGCAGTTGGGCGTGAACAAGGGTGGACACCGAGGATGTGTTTCCTTTCCTCCCGAAGGGCTTCTGCTTTTGCTGAGGGCTTCCTCCCGCTGGCACCATGAGCACGCCCGGCTTCCCCCAGCATTCACGGGGGCCTGCAGGCGCAGGAGGAAATCCACAGGAATAAGGGCTGCGGCTCCCTCCCTCTGGCCTGAGACAGGGGAGGAGGCTGATCGTGAGGCCGCACTTGCTGAGCCAGCGTGCAGCCCCCTGGCCCGGGGACGGCTGCTGGGCCATCCAGGAGGGAGTGGCCCCCCCAGGCCAGGGCTGCTTCATCGGCACAGCTGGGCTCATGTCTGGTACTGAGCAGAACTCCCAGCATGCCCTTCCCATTCCCCCTTCCTCATAGTGAGTTTCCTGATTGTCTCCGTTTCCACTGCTCATCTGTTCCCGCCTCGTGCCTGAGGGGGCTTACCTCTGCAGCATGCGTGGCTCATGCCTACTGCCTTCTCCTGGTTCAGTGGGTTTGTTAACTGGGCAGCTCATAACAGCACCGGGTTCAGAATGCTGCATCTATTTCCTACACACCTGGTAGAGAGAATTGTGAACCTGGTAATCCGAGTACGACATCGGTTGGTTCACAGTTGAAGGAGGCAGTACTTCAGGGGGGCGTCTGTGCCTTGAGAGATACGATGATGTGAGCAGCAAGCATGTCACTGCCCTGAGGACGAGGAGGGTGGTCACTTTCCCCTGCGTTCTGTGCAGGGTGGCTTCACTGCGGCTCGTTTCTTCCCACCAGGCCTCTGATCCAAGAGAAGATTAAAGTTCTGGGTGAAGCCGGCGTTTCTGAGGCCAATTTTTCAGAAATGACAGAAGCCACTGATTACATCTACAAGGTAAAGCCGACACGGCTCCTCACCGCTGGGGCCGAAGGAGGCACTAAGCTGCCTGCCAGCCCTGGGGCCTGAGCAGGAAGGCGTGATCACTCCTGGGGCCGCCCAGCCCCGGAGCTGGAGATGACGGTGCAGTCTCAGGCCAGACCACATGTGCTTCCTCCATGGACAAGTGGTGACACTGACTCCTGCTTTGGACCTTCCCTCAGAGTCTCATAACACCAGGGCTTCCACATGCTGCCCCTCCCATCAGACCGTCTCAGACTGGCAGAAATTTTCCTTTGCGGCTGTTGATTTATTGCACAAAGTACATAGCAAACCCTAGCAGGGCCGCCTCGGACCACGTCCTCAGCACAGAATGAGGCATGTTCAAAGTCAGGTACCGCTTTTATGCAACTTACTGCTGCTCAGCCATTGCATTTTGTTCTCAGTGTCTCCCATTTCACAGAGGGGTAAACTGAGGCATGCAGAACATTGTGATTTGCCCACAGTCACAGGCCTTGTTTTGCCAGCCGCTCTGATGACCTGGAAGAGGAAGAGGCCAGTGCCTCCTTCCATGGCCAGAGGGACCTTGTCAGAGTGCTCAGAGGAGGCTTGTTGGCCTCTGGAGAGGACAGCTGGGGCCCAGCGCGCCTGCCCGGGCCCAGCGCTCCAGCCCAAGGGCTGCCACGGTCTCTCCCTCCTGTTTCGGAGTTTCAGCGAAACTCATGGAGAGGAGCAAGGAGCACTCCCAAAGGCTTGTGTTTCCACTTGGCTGGTTGACATGGAAGTGAGGACGCAGGCAGTACTGCCTGCTGGATGGCGACTGCTGAGAGAATTGTTTGTAACGAGAGCTTAGCCTAACGCAGGGACGCAGAGTCAGGAAATGGAGGTTGGTGGAAATACCAATCTGACCTTGGCATTTGCCTGCTCTGAGTTATGGTACCATCACCATAACGAATGCATGTTAACAGTTATTTCTCCCTGGAACAGGCTGCCTGCATGTGGCGCTTCCGTGGCCTTGCTGTTCAGATGGAGGGCGATGAGAGCCCAGCACAGCGAGGGGCTGGCCTTAGTGGCCTTTCCTATCACTTCCCATCTGAAAGGACAGCATGTCTTTTTTTCTTTATCGAATGAGCAGGAGAGAAGATGTCAGACACTTGGCAGCACGGCTGGTCAGTGATGAGCGGCCTGTGCTCGCACCGCACCACCCGACACCAGGAGATGTGCGGCCTCCCTGGGTGCCCCCACCAGCCGCTGCAGGGAGTCAGGGTGCCGCTGGGTCCTTTCATCTTTCCTTTTCTTCCTCCGATGAAGGACCCAAAGCAGCAAAAGATCTACGACCTATTCCAGAAGTCCTTTGAGGAGGAAGGAAGCGACAAGGAGCTCCTGGAGGCGGTGGAGGCCTTTGACCCGGGAAGTGCTTCGGGAACGTCTGGGAGTGGCTCCCAGGACCTGGGAGACTGGCCGGATGGGGGCACAGAGACGGGCAGTCCAGAGAAGAAAAGGAGATTTGAATTTTTTGATAACTGGGACAGCTTTACCTTTCCCCTATAAGAGGGGCAAAAAAAAGCATTAAAAATCATGCAATTCATTAATAAAATATAACTTGTTTTTAACACCTGTGCTCCCTTTATCGTCATACGGGTGCTGGTGCTGGTCTCCAGTCGCAGCAAGTTTCCAAGTCAAGGGTCAGCGTTTCCTTTCCGGCCTCCCAACATGTGGGTTTGTTTGGGTCTTAATTAACCTCAGATTTCCTGGTTGAGAAATAAAGACAGCAGGTTGAGTAGTGGTTATTCGTGTTGTTTAAATAATGAAGTGTTTCCTCCACATCCCCCAAAATGTGAAATTTTAAAATTGACCAAAAAAATATTTATAAAATACCTACTATGTGCCAGGCACTGGCAGTAGTTCGCCGAACACGTGAGAAAGTGTACATCTTTGCAGAGGCAATCATATCAAGGGAGAAGCAATAGTTATATATCCCAGGAAGAGAAAGAAGGAACTATGGGTAGAGCAGGAGTTGGTAAGTTTTTTCTGTACAAAACCAGATAGTATTTTTGGCTTAATAGGCCAGGACATTTCTGCAGTAAGAGTGCGAAAATAACCATACGTAATCTGAAACAAATGATTATGGCTCTTTTCCAAAAAACCTCTGATATGGACACTGAAACTTGAATTTCATATAATTTTCATGGGTCACAAATGATTACTCCTTTGATTTATTTTCAACCACTTAAAAATGTAAAAACCATACGTAGCTCACAGGGCTTGCAAAAGCAGGCAGTGGAGAGGGTTTGGCTTACAGACCATAATTTGTTAACCCTGGTCTAGAGCAGCACTGTCCAGTAGAATATAAGCCACATGTGTGATTTTAATATTCTAAATATTAAATAGTGTTTCAGAAAATAAAGGACCAGGTCATTTGATTTAACCCAATATTGACATTTCAACATATCGCTAAAATTCTCTCTCCCTCCCACGCTCCCCTGTCTCATCCCCAAGGTGCTCCAAAGCAAATTTTATTTATACCATGTAGCCTATATAGTTTCAGGTAAACCATCTGAAATGTACTTCCGAAATTCATTGAGAGCTGTCGGCCATCTCTGTGTGATTTAGTAAAAGACACTTGGACTTAGTTATATGGAGACTGAATACCTTTGGTTTAAGGAAGGGTTTCCACACTAACTCCTTTTCCTTCTGTACTTCGCATCTCAGCCCAGACACATACACCCCAACAGCCGCTGTGCTTTCTGGAAATGTCAATTAATGAAGAAAATATGGGCTCATCTCATCCCACTCCTGTCCCTGCCATCCATTGTCCCCTTAAAGGCGTTTACTAGAGCCCCCAAACTCCCCTCTCCTCTGCCTCAATCCACTGGCCCCGTCTCTGCTTCCTCACCAGTTCATTAAGTGGAGTCTTGTTTCCTGAGTGACTAGTTAATTTCTGACTCTAGGGCCTGGCGTCAGGAAGATCCCGTTAGCCTGGATCCACTTGTGCTTGAATCAATCTTGTCCTGTCCTTCTTGGCTCCGAACAGCCTTTTTCTAGGTCAGAGGGAGAGCTGGGAACCGGAGCTGGAGGGACTGTTCCCTCGCTGCTGGCTCTCGGGTTTTGCCTGATCTGTGCATTCTTGACTATTGGAGCCTTGATGCTTTATGAAGCTCTTTTTAGGTGAAGGTAAATTGAAAGGATAAAAAGAAGTCTAACCATATTTTTTACCCATCCTCTTGCTTTTTATCAAGTTCAGGATGACGAGGTAAAAAATGGCTTGGAAGTTTAAAAGGGTTTCATGGGAGCAGTCTCTCATACTTACCGTTTTGCATTTTCCTCTGGGGTCTCAGTGAAGGAAATGGATTCCTCATCGTAGCAGAAAGCATTGAGAAGCCTGTGAGTCAGTCTTTTGGGTCTTACGACAGCCAACAGTTACTTGATTTTGCAACACCTTCCATTCATCCCCCTAGCCCAGCGGTTCTCAACCTTTCTAATGCCGAGACCCTTTGATACACAGCTCCTCATGTTGTGGTGACCCCCAACCAAACATTATTTTCTTGGCTACTTCATCACTGTAATTTTCCTGCTGTGAATGAATCGTAATGTAAATATCCGTGCTTTCTGACAGTCTTAGGCCACCCTGCTAGCGGTTCTCGACCCGTGGGTCACAGAACCTGTTGCCATTAAGGGAGGATGTACTGTATGTAGAATTTGTTCTTACAAAAACTGTATCAAACACTTTTTATTGAAAATGGCTCATTTCACATAATGTATTTGGCCATCTATATATATATATAAAAGCCTAAGCAACTAAATGACTGGACAACCAGCTGGTAGCTAAGATGCTCAACACAGGAGCTGCCCCCTGGTGGTCAGTGGAAGCACCACTCAGTGGCACAAGCCTCTCCCACGGACACTCCCCTTGCACTCCTAGCTAGGGCGGCAGCAGGTGCAGCGGGGCCAGGGTGAGCAGGAAAGGCACGGTGCCCAGCCTGGGCTCTTCCCTAGCCACACATTACTTTATGCTGTGCGGGATCGACACGGACAGCAGGCTGGAGCCCAACGAGCTGGTGGGTAAAGCCAGGCTGCAGTGGCATGGAGGTCCATTGATCCCCACAGGCCAGGCCAAAGGACCCCACTGGTGCATGAATCTGTGCACCGGGCCTTGAGTTGTTTCTTATTGATCTATCTGATCTCTTTTAAGCATTGCAGAATAACTCCATTCCTGATGTATGTGTTGCCTGGGTCAGTGCTCTGTGAAACCTCCATTAAAACAACTATAGAATGCATTTATAGTGAATCTGTGGAGGGAAGAAAGGACAGAATCCATGCACTGAATGCATTTCAGACACTGGGTTCTTTCTCAGTGTCCAAGACTCGGCCTTGGCAAACTTTGGCCCCTTCTTACTGAGTTGGCCCTTCCCTGCAGAGTTGGGCCAAAGGTTCTTAACAATTATGTGCAGAATCTGCTCATGTCGGTGGCCACCAGACACTTCAGGGAAGGGTAAGCAAGAGTTCTTCCAGCAGGAAGTGAAGGAACAACATAGAGCCTGGATCTCCAGATAAACCTTTGGTTGGCAAACTCATTAGTCCACAGAGCGGCAAACCGCAGCTCACGAGACACATGTGGCTCGTGAGCCGCAGTTTGCCTACCACTGAGATAAACCATCTCTGAATCCAGCATGAGTTCTGGATGATACTTGGACCTCAGATTTCTCTGAAGGATAAAATGTTCCATATGCCCCCAAGAGAACTGGTTGACTCAATAGCTTAAAGAATTCTTCTCTGGAAGTGTCCTTGATTTATTTTTTAAAGGTAAAAGTAAATTTTGAGTGCTTCTGGAGAGCAGGATGGTTCACCAGAGATTTTTACTGGGACTTTTATGGATATGCATTACCGTTAACAATCTGTACACCTGATGGTCCCCTGATGGGGACGGAGATTTATTAGCCAACAGATAAGACAAATTGAGATTTTTATGAGAGGCACAATTCTCAGAAGCCACTGAGAAGTGATTTCATGAGAGTGCTATTTGTGCATCCTCAGGCTGGCTATTTGAAAAGAATCGTTCAGTTGTGCCAAAATTGCTCTGAACATGAACAATTTCCTCCCACTATGGAGTGTCTCGTTTTCAGAGACATTCTATTACATTCTTACTCAGGCAAGGGACGGGAGTGAGGCAATGGTAAATGTTCTACATGACGATCTTAACTAGACTCCAGAGCCAACCCAGGAGAGTATGTGAGGCTGGCCTTGCTCACCCACTCACCCAGGATAGGTGAGCTCACTGCTTGACCTGAACATTAGCTGCTCGTGTTTGAATGTGCCTGCTATGAGTCCGTTTTTGCACTGATGTGAATACATTTTCTTTTTTTAATTTATAGTTTTCTGAGAGCAGGGCATAGTTTTGTTGGAGAAGTTCCCAGAAAAATCCCCCATTTGCAGTGTGTTCTTTACGGAAGGAGGGACTTGCTCCTGGGCCCCTTGCTATTCTTTACCCTAAAGAGGAAAAGGGTACGTGAAGCCTGTGATGGCACTGAGAGAACTTGGGCACATCCTGCTCCCTTGGGGGACATCCGGTGGCTGTGACTAGTAGATTTATTTTGTTAAAGGTAAAGAGATGAAGGAGAAAGGCAATGGACATGTTTTTAAGGAAAAGTGGAAAGCAGATCTGTTATCTCCTGAGTATGGCAGAAGAGGAAATAGCATTGAGTAAGCATCAGGAGATACTGAAATCAAGTTTTATCATCATCTTAACAGTAATAACCATCACTTAGAAATGCCCACTAGGCACTTCATAAAAGTTATTTCATCCTCCAAAGAACCTTACCAGGGTATGAAATACTCACTTTGCAGCTGAGGAAATCATGTGGTCTAGCAGATAGAACTGGTAAGTCCTTTATTGGCTGTGTGACCTCGGGCAAGTCATTTTGACCTCCACGGGCCCCAGTTTCCAGTATGGGTTAATTATCCATACAGCCTTTTTTAGTTCTGATGTCAGAGGGTTGACCCGGACAAATTAAACCTTTACCAGGCAAGATACCATTTTCCCATTCAACAGGTATCCATTACCACAGACATGCCAGGCTCCCTGCTCAGTCCTGGGATGCAGAGGTGGACAGACACATAGGCCTTACCTTGTGGAATTGACTTGCAGTGACCTGGTGTTGTGGGTTTTGTTGTTGTTGTTAGTTTAGTTTTTTTTTTTTTTTTTTTTTTTTTTTTTACATATGGATTTTGTGTTTCAGGAGAGTTTTAGATTTATAGACAATTTGAGGAGATACTCCCACAGTTCTCGTGTTATTAACATCTTACATTTGTATGGTACATTGGAGTGGAGCCTTGGTTTTTAGTCACCACTGTGCCAGCCTCCTGCACAGGGCCTGCTGCTTTTAGGCGATACGATGTAGGAAAAAAATGCGATCTGGAGGCAAGATTTAAGCACGTCTCTAACCCACCAGCCAGTGAGCAAATCCCTTACCATTTTCCTTGTCCGTCAAATGGGGGAAATGGCTCCCGCACTGCGGGGCTGCAAGGCTTCCTGCCACACTTCCCAGGAGGCC